AAAGGTGGCAGGAGCAGATGGAGGAGCCACTTGGAGGCAGGGCTGGCTCCCGCCAAGGCAGCCTGTGCCGTCTGGGGCTCTAGGTGTGGGAATCACAGCCACTGCTGTGCCTGGGACAGACTTTCCGCTCTCCTTTCCAGCCCTTGGGGGTGCGCCCTCCTGGAGGCAGGCATTTGAAAGACAAACCCAAGCAAGCGTGGCAAGCGCAGCCTCTTTCTCTTCCCTCAGGGGCCCTCGGCAGGACCTGGTCTTCCTGGCCAGGTGAACAGGAAGGAGGTGGAGTGGTGGGCAACAGACCCACACCCCTGTACCAGGCAGCCCCCAAAGTGACAGAGTTAGACCCAGGCCCAAATGTAGGCCCAAAGTGCCCTGCCCATACCCCACCCCTGGACTCTCACTGAGTTCAGCTCAACTCATGACACCGATGGGTAAACTGAGGTGACCAGAGAGTTACCAGCTGCAGCAACAGAAAGGTTTCTTTCTCACTAACTAAAGGTTAGAGCCAGTGGTCCAGGAAACATAAAAGGCTAAGCTCCCTGACCTTTCTGGGCCAATAAGGAGAAACATTTGATGTCATAAAACATTTCATTATTAAAGCAACCAGGAGGCACAGCCAAGAGGCTCACAGTTACCAGGAGCACAGCCCCATCCAGCCCTGCCTGGCCGCCCACCCTGCCCACCCCGGAGCCAGCCAGTGCCCAACCCAAACCACATCTCCAGGCAGGGACAGCGGGTTGGCCTGGCAGGCTCCGGGCAGCCTGTTCCTTCCCAGCCACTCCACTTACACAGAGGCCACACGGGGGTGGGAAACACCCCTGCCCTGCATCCCCTCCGGGACTGGGGTTGCACTGGGGGCAGGAAGTACCCGAAGCATTGCTGGCCTTGGGATCAGCATAACTGGGGACTCCAGGGCTCCCCTGGAGGAGGGTGAGGGGAGCAAATCTGATCTTCAGGGGAGGGGACTTGGCTAGGCCAGCTGGGAGCCAGGCAGACTCTCACTCAGCTGGGAGCCCATGTTTGTCCCCAGCTGCTGCGGGCTGTGGCAGCAGGCATCCCATCGGGTCTCCTCCAGGTCTTGGCCTGCAGAGCTTTCCTCTGCCCCCATCTCACCCCTCGCTCTCCACCAGGAGTCCCCAGCACTGTGTCTCTCTCAGGTGAGCCCCGGGCCCTTGTCCACACCTGTAACACCCAGCAGTGATCAGAGATTCGTGTGCGGCTGCAAGGCTAAATGTCTTCTTCGTAAACTTATTTTCCTTAGAAGGGGATTGAAAACACATTTGTAATCTTTGTGCTCAATAAAAACTGGCCCAGCAGCTGTGCCGGGACAAGCAATGATGTTTGTGTTTCCTCCCGGCGCCAAGCGGACTCTGCTTCTCCCGCACGGACCCAGAGCTGAGCGGCTGGCCAGGGCATGCATGGGCCAGACCTGGACACTCGGCCTCCGCCTGACCCCTGCAGTCCACACTCTCAGGCTCAACAGTGCCAGTCTCCACCTCCCCTCCAGGCGGCACCCCAAAAGTGCTCCCATGTGAACCTGTCCAGTCCACACTTAGTTCATCCCCTGGCCACGTGGAGAGGCGGTGGGGCCTGATGCAGGGGCCCTGCCCACAGGGGGGCCTGGAGACTACAGCCACCTCCAGCCTTCTGCTTTCCCAGAAGTGACTGGTGCTAAAGCCCAAGCACCCAGGAGCATGGCCTGAGTGTCATCCTGAGGGCATTTTCTATCCCTCTGGGAAGGGGGACTTGAGCTTCTGGTGGGGAACAGCCCTGTCCCCCATGAGTTTAGACCTGTGGCATCTCAGAATCAGGACAGAGCATCAGGCTATTGTGTTCCTTTAAGAGATGGAGGAGCCTGGAGCTCAGAGAGGTTAAGCTCCCACCCCCAGGTCACACAGCAGGTCCTTGGAGCTTCCACGCGAGGCAGGCCAAGGAATGCTCAGGTTTAGGGCACAATCTTGGGACCCAGATGGCTCCTTCCCGCCCCTGGGTCTGCAGCAGGTCTAAGGCCAAACCTGCAGAAGGTCTCCTGGGGTGTAGCGCAGCCCAGCAGCCTGTGATTAATTCTCCCATCCTCATTAATTCCCGGATCTCTCCTCTCGTTACAAGGCAGCAAGGCAGTAAGCACTGAGGCTTCGTGCCTGCATGGCCCAGACCGTGATGCTGAGGCCTGTAATTGCCTCGCCCGGCCTCAGGTGGGCTCATTAGCGGTAATGAAATCGAGGAGCCCAGGCCGGAGGGAAGCAGGTCCCCTGGAGACAGGCAGGCAGAGCTCTTTAGGAGAGAGGCTCAGAGCAGAGGGTGGGGGCTGAGACCGAGCCAGCAGGAGGAGAGGCCCGGGCCAGGCTTCCAAGAGGCACCGTGCCACCTAGGCTGGGCTGCGGCGCAGCTCCTCAAGCTCTGCTGTAGTGACCCCTCTGGGCAGCAGCCCCTC